ATCATTTGATTGTAATACACAGAAAAATATCTGTGAATATTGAATGAATTATGCTAAAAATTAGCAGGCCTAATGTTTCTAAATTATTTAATCAGACATGCCTAGAAGAGAATTTTCTGCCTAAATACACAAATTTTATATATATATATATATATATATATATATATATATATATAATTTATCATCCGAAAAGAAAAAAAAATTATTAGATCGCATGAGAATATTGTATAAAAAGTAACTAAAAGCACCTTGTCCGTGGTATTTAATGAAATGTGCTTTTATATATATATATATATATATATATATATATATATATATATATATATATATGATTAAACAAATTAGAAACATTATATTTTACTTATTTTTATCATACTCCGTCCATATCCAGGGATATTTTTCCGTGTATTACAATCAAATGATGCAAGAATTGCACTCTAACAGTGAAGATCCTTTTTATTTCTTCAAGTACTTTCCATCTCTTTCTAGGATCATCATCAGAGGTGTAACTAGTAAGGAAAAGAGATGGAAACTATTTGAAAAATAAAAGTGGTTTTCACTGTTACAGTGCATTTCTTGCACCATTTGATTGTAATACACAAAAAATCCAAGTGAATATGAACGGATAATGCTAAAAATTAGCAGGCATAATATTTGTAATTTATTTAATCGGACATCTCTCTCTCTCTCTCTCTCTCTCTCTCTCTATATATATATATATATATATATATATATATATATATATATATATATATATATATATATATATATTTTTTAAATAATTAATTCTAAATCGGACACTTTATTAGTTCGAATGTTATTATAGTGGACACTTCGTATTTGAAATAGACGCCGAGTTTTTATTTATGAAACATTATGTATTACATGTGTCAGCTTGTGGATTCGAGAAAACCCAGTAAAGAAAATGTGTTCATCAGAAGGAATCGAACCTGCGCTACCATTTTCTCGAAAGTGCAGAACTGTAGACATAATACTCACAGTTTACTAAATAAAAATCGCGGGTCTACTTCAAAAAACATTATATCCAATGTAATAACCTTTGGTGTATTATATATATATATATATATATATATATATATATATATATATATATATATATATATATATATATATATATACTAGCAGTAGAGTCCGGTGTTGCCCTGGGATGTAACAGTAAGAAATAGATCAAGTATCCACCATCATAAAGACTGGAAAATAGAATTGACAAAGATTATTGTTTAATAATATCTGCATGTCTGAATTAGTTGTTGTTTTTTTTACGAATTGGTCAAACCCAAACTCAAACAAAAACATTGTTTTCAATCGTTATGAGTCTCCCGATTGAACAGAAATTTTTATAAATAATTGTCTTGGAAATGGAATTTTTAAAGCATTGTGAATATTAAAAATAAAGAAAAAAGTGTGTAAGAGAAGAAGAAACACTACCTGCCCCCCCCCCAAAAAAGTGAAGTTTTGTTTTATCGGCTAAAAAATATAGGAAATCCGATCCCATATTTAGAGGAACCAACACACACAAACAACCCGATGTGAGTTGTCCCCCTTCCATTTTCACGATGTCTGTTAATCGTGTTTTCAAATTGATTTTTGCTAAAACAATTATATTTTTCCCATTTTTGGCGCTGTTAGAACCAACACAAGGTAATTTTATGTAGTCCTGTGAAGTTTTGTTGAAATCGGTTGAAAAATGTAGGAAATCCGATCCAATATATAAACGTTACAGACACACAATCTGCGTTTTATAATAAGTAAGATATATATATATATATATATATTTAAATTTTACGTTTGAAACATCCGGGGAAGTAACTAAGTTTGAAATGCCCATATGTTTAAAAAAAAAGGCAATGAAATTTCTATTAGTTAATAAATAAATATATATATATATATATATATATATATATATATATATATATATATATATATATATATATATATATATATATATATATACAGTATATTTTTTTTAACTGTCCCTCGCTAATTTATTTACACGTTATTTTCCCTCGTTACAAGTATATACACTTGTTTGTTATTTTAGTGTGTTTCCCCCCTTTTTTGCTCTTTATTTTCGTTAATATTCTTTTCGTTGATTAATTATCCAACGATTGTCTCCTGATGAGATGTTGGTTGAAAAGGGCCTTAGAGACTAATAAAATTAAAATCAATAAATTCTAGTTTTTAAAACTGTATATAAATTTTGTACATCTAAACATTTGTATATATATATATATATATATATATATATATATATATATATATATATATATATATATATATATATATATATTATTATTATTACTATTATTATATTATAAGAAATTATAATAAAAACATGTTCAAATCTCTACACAAAACCTTTTATATATCAACACTTTGATTGTGCTTTTTCAGACAATGGTAAGTAACTAGTGATTAAATAACTTTTAAGAAAATTTTAAAAGAAAAATTGTTACCTCTATTGGTGTTAATCATTAGACCGGGCTCTTTAAAAAATTTAAACATTTTTTAGTCGGTCGGGGTTTTCTGCACCCGTTTTACGGAGAAGAATTATACTGTCGTCCGGTGTTATTAATATCGAAAATGAACCTTATATATATATTGTTATTATTTATTACTTCAAATGTTATATTGTCATTTTTTATATATACTTCAATATAAGAAATTACAAATAAGTAAAATAAATAAATGATAAATATATATATATATATTTGTGTGTGTGTGTATGTATAATTTATACATATCACTTCAAACGTTATTATAGTGGACACTTCGTATTTTAAATAGATAATTTATGTCTCCTTACCAGTGTGTGTTACATCTATCGGCCTGTGGATACAAGAAAGGGGGAAGCAGGTTCAATCCCTTTCGCAGTACAAATTTTCTTTGCTAGGATTTATCGAAGATCATATATATGATAAGAAATCTACTTTTATGATATGCTCTATTTATAGGTATATATGTGTGTGTGTGTGTGTGTGTGTGTGTATATATATATATATATCCAAATGAAATGATAACGAATCGAATATAAATTACAATGTTCGTAACATTAATTTAAAAGAGGTTTTAATACAAAAATAGAACCGTATACTTTATTTTCTAATCAAATATGTTACGAACGTGGATTTTATATTCGATTCGTTCTCATTTCATTTGGATAGTTCGCCCCCATATGTGGTCGAGCACTGTTTACATTTATTTTAATAATATTCTCATGTTCTCATATCTTAATATATATATATATATATATATATATATATATATATATATATATATTCACCTCATCTGTATGCTTATCATTATGTCTCACATTGATCTGATGCTTTCGTCAACACATACGACGTGTAGACCGTTTACATCCAACGCTTCATCTTGTGGTACTAGTGTTGGTAAATATATATGAACACGCAGATATGACAAGTTGCTACAATCATACAAGCAATCATTTAGAAGAATCACAAATAAATATGAATGTTAGAATAGAAGAGATACATAACCAATCACTGATAAACTTAATAATGCGTGAAAAATTCATTCACTGTATGGCATGCCCATCGGCTCAGGAAAGAGAAACAGTTCAATATAAATTGTTGACATATGTAACAGATACATTTTCGATCGTTATATTGCTATCAATATTTGATTTTTTTTTATCCAAATAATCTGCTTGTTTATCCAAATAAGCGTCTTTTATTCAAATAGTTGGCGTCAAATTGCGTTCTGTGTATCAGAATATTTACAACTCAAGGCTAAAGTGATTTTCTTCAAAATCTTTAAGATCCGTTTGGCTTCTGTCAGAACTGACAATAAGTTTTTATTTCTAATTCCCAATTCTTCAGATTCCTCAATTGTACAGCTGTCAAGTTTGAAAAAGGAATACGTCGTTATGAATTGGATAATCATTTGATAATAGACTTTTCTTATACCGGATGTAGCTTTAATAATACGGTTTTGTCCCTAAATCGTCTACTCAATGCAGAATCTGAACAGTATTTACTGTTATTAACCTTTCGCATTCTGCATTTTTAATCTTTCCCCTCTTTCTACAGCATGCTTTTTCAAGGCCTCTCAATTGCAGTATCATTATTGTTAATTTCGAAGTTGTTTTCTGTTGCCAAAGCAGGATATGACAACACAACTATGGAATTCAAAAACACAATTGTTCAGAAATCAGAGTCACCTTCAGTGGCAGCATAAACTGTTTTGTACAAAAAATGAAATCACAATGTGATAAAGGATAAAACTTCTGAAAATGTTACGACAGGAAACAAACTGCCTTTCTTTCTTTGTTTCTTTCTTTACTCTCTTTCTTTCTTCTCTCCCTATCTCTCTCTTTCTTTCTTTCTTTCTTTTTTCTTTATTTATTTCTTTTCTCTCTCTTTCTTTCTTTAAAGTTATTTTACCGATATTTATTCTTAGTCACTTACTTAAAATGTACAAACCAGCGCCCACGTCTACCATTCTCTCCTTCTCTATCTGGATGTGCGGGCGGTGTAATGGCTTGAGGCTCTGAATGTGAAATCAGAGGGACGAGTTCGAGAAATCTTATTCAAAATTTACGATCCTTCCAGAGATTGTATTTTTATCTTATCATATTTCAACCGCTGTGGCATCCGGCCTTCATCAACAGTTTGTCTCAATCATCTGCACATAATGAATGTAAACATTGTTTCTTCGACTATAGTTAAAAACTCTCCGCCGCAGTTAATTTTAAACGTCAAAATATGGCGCTATAGTATGTGCCTCGACAGGGTTACACACCCAGTGTTCGAAGATGGAGCAGCTCCCTGCGAGAAAAAACAAGACTGTTATCTAACCGATTGCTGGGGGAGGTGAAGGGAGGGATTCGCAACTTTCCCAAAAATATGTGTGCGAAAATGAACGAATAGAGCAAAGAACAAATTCGAACTCGACTCGCTGATTTCACTTTCTGAACCGCTAACCCTTACACTACCCGGATAACCTACAGGCATTGCTTAGTCTGGCACATGGATAAAATTAGAATGATTAGGGTGCATAATTGAATAGCACCAAGCGTCCGTATGAGGAGGCTTAGCTTGCTTTGAAAAGTCAGTCTTTTGAGTTGATGTCAAAGACACTGAAAAATGCACAACGATCTCAACTACAAGGCGGGGTACGTATGATAGATAGATAGATAGATAGATAGATAGATAGATAGATAATTCAAGACGATAGATAGATAATGGACAGTCTATAGATAGATAGATAGATAGATAGATAGATAATGAATAGTCTATAGACAGATAGATAATGAACAGACGATAGATAGATAGATAGATAGATAGATAGATAGATAGATAGATAGATAGATAATGAACAGTCTATAGACAGATAATGGACAGACGATAGATAGATAGATAGATAGATAGATAGATAGTGTTGAAACTTGACTAATGGATGGAATAATAATGCAACACAAAATGTACTTAGAACAAAATGTATTGAAACAAGAAAATGTACACAATATTTACATATAGTCTTTTGTATATTCCTGGTAAGACCGTTCCTGGAGAATGTGTTGACTGAGTCGCAGTCGGGCAGAGTCTCTGGTTGAATCTCTTGATTCCTTCCTCTCTTCCCGGTACCAACCATATTTATATGGTCGGTACTCCACTATGCAAATTAGGTGGATCCTACCACAACAGATAGATAGATAGATAGATAGATAGATAGATAGATAGATAGATAGATAGATAGATAGATTATAAACAGATATGAACAGAGATAGATACGAACATATTGCAATAGATAGATAGATAGATAGATAGATAGAAATGGACAGATTACAATGGTAATGGAAACTGCAATTGTAATGTTAGCCTTTTCCTTACAAGGAAACATTTGGCATTCATTGACCCAGCAGCCAGTAATGTTTTCGGTTGAAATTTATAAAATATTTCCCTTAAAACAATTTTTTTAGGTTAATAGGTTTCTCAAGTCTCGTAGCTTTTATCACTCTTTCAATTATTGATGAGAGCCTCTTTCCTAAACATCTTAACATTTTGATCATGTCATAATTTATTCTTACAGAGACATGTGCTATCTATTTTAGTTGTTGCTACTATTGGTAGTCTTCAACTGATGTGGTTTCTGTTATTCTGTACAGTTCTTTGTGATTATGCACCGCCAGTCAACAATGTTCAAAGAAGAAGAATATTTGTAAAGATCCTCAGGCTTGATTCGCTCAGAGACTTTTTCTTAAGAAGTGACTGCATACAGCTGACAGTTTCTGAACAGTTTTTGTGCTATACACGACGTTCATATAAAAGTCTCAATCTGTCAAGGCTATTTAAGATAATGATTTGAGTTTTCAGGTTGATGTTTTGGTTTTGTGGCAATTTGCGGTGTTGAGTGAAACTATCTCTGGCACAACCTATTCTATATTCAATTTCTTTTTCTCTTATACTTAATTTGTTATAGCTGAACCATATACCAAGTTATCTGAAGTGTTTAGCATTTACTAAATCCACGTACTGTATATTTGTGATAGATTCAGGGTCGGTGCCATCTCTGTATTTATTCCAATTCTAGATCATAGTTTCTATTTTGGAAACGTTTGAGTCGCATTTCTTGGAAGACTTGATAGGAGATGCTTATTTTCTGTTCAAGATCATTCTTATTCATACTATGTACACCCGTATCATCAGCATAGACCCCCTCCCCTCACCATCGGTACATTGATCTTAGGAGGGAAAGAACGATCGTTTTCTTCTATTGGTAGATAGGTGTGATATGAAATAATTATATGGTCAGTGCCCATTTCGTCACACCCGAGTTTCTGTATGTACAGGACATAGTCTAGGAAGAGCTTAAATAGACTGGGCCTGTCCTTCCCCCCTTATCGTACTCCTGATGGGCAGCTCGAGATGGTGTAATGGTTAGCGAGCTTGTCTCGCTAGAACAATTACGAGTAGTGAGTTTGATCCCCACTGGGTGCCCCGTACTTTCGGCATTGTGCCACATCTGAGCTATGCTTGAAAAATCACTATCGTACTCCTGATGAAGTCTGAAATGTTTTCGTATTGGGGTCCTCGACTAACAAGCAAGATTCACTAGATCCATACAATTCCTCTGATAGATAGATAGATAGATAGATAGATAGATAGATAGATAGATAGATAGATAGATAAGACATCTCTTATAAGGCCACAAGAATTGAGTGATTACTGAGAATCGTATGCCCGAAACAGATGCAATGGTCTGCTAGAATAGCTCATTAACCAATACGCGACAGTATTTTGGGAAGTTCTTTTAATTTCAAATTCGACTCCTTTATGCACTCAAGTATTAGTTATTTACCAAAACATCTCAAGGTTATTGATATATTAGACACAGTGAAAATCAAATGCTCTACACAATAGAAATGAGCAGCCAAACAAGTTCGTTAACCATTGCATAACAGCTAAGCGTCTCAAATAAAGAATCTTATGGTACCGTCTGTCGAAGTGTCTGGTTTGAAAACTATCAACGAGAACCCCACGAGGAGAAAAGATTAACCCAAACTTTATAAAATACCAAGGAAGAGGAAATTAGATAGATAGATATGAACAGTTTGAGATAGATAGATAGATAGATAGATAGATAGATAGATATGAACAGATTGAGATAGATAGATAGATAGATAGATAGATAGATAGATAGATAGATAGATAGATAGATTGGCGATAACCAAAAACTCCTTTGCAGTTTTTACTTCGTCTGGGAAGAAGGGATCATTGATATGTATATGAGTGTTTCACGTGCCTGGAAAGCAGTAGTGATGGGGTTGTAGCATTGCACACACATCAGTCACAGTTCGAGTAGCGGTACTGAAACGTGGCGGTGTAGAAGCAGTTCGTATGGGTTTGCCTGCTTCATTAATTTCATGTCGGCTTGTTCACGGGCGTATCAAGTCACTGAATACGTCAATGGATAACACTGTGAGTAAACGCACTGTCAGGTATTGGTTCCGGAAGTTCAGGTCGGGAGTTATGTCCCTTTATGATGATCTCTTCAGTGGTTAGCTGTAATGAGCTTGCTGATCGCTTCCAGATTTCTGCTGAAACAGTCAAACTTCGCCTGCACCGCATAGGAAGACGTACAAATTGATCAAGTGGGGACACCACACACTGTCGGAAGCCAACAAGCAACAACGAGTGACAGCCTGTTTCTTATTGTTTTCTCGTGTCCTGTATGACTCGCCTCAGCGTGCCATACATTGGTTGTAACCTCGGAGCCTTTTGCCTCACACCACATGACCACCTCCATACCTACGCAAGATCATACTCTCTAGCTGATGGACTAGTTGACAAGTGGTGCACGATGAGCTTCTATAAACAGGCCAAACCGTCACTGCAGAACTGTACTCACAGCAGGTGGAACGTGTGCAGCAGGCACTGAAACAGAAGGAGCGAGCATTGGCTAATTTCAAGGTTATACAGTTCCCCCTTGACAATTCCAGGCCGCGTGTGACACATGTGAGTGGCCAGAAATACCAAACAGTGGCTGCGTGACACTATGACATTCATAATGCACCCTGGAGCTTACGTAAAAAGATTAACAACTTTTCCATTACTTGGACAACCTCCTTCTTGGTAAATCCTTCACACATGTAACAGACTTGCGGCAAACTTCTTTGCGTGCTTGATAACATTTTTACCGCCGGGAGTTTGTACAACAGGAGATATGTTGGTCTGTTCCGTTATTTTTTCCGTATGTTTTTCAGTGTTTAACCATTGTCTTTTTTGTGTAGTAGTAACTCAAATGTCTTTCTTGGACTGGTGGTAAAAGAGTTTTTCTGCTTCCTTAAGCAAAAAAAAAAATAATAATTGACATTTAGGTTACTACTACACAAAAAGACAATAGTTAGACATCGAAATACATAAGGAAAATTAATTCCTTTTAATAATATGTGGAAATATCCACTCTTTGCCTGAAGAGGTTCGCGTGGCCGGTAACACGTGTAGCAAAAATACGGAAATGTAGTATAACATATATTTTTAAAAATGCACATTGTAACCAAAAAGTTTCTTTGTAATATATATATATATATATATATATATATATATATATATATATATGAAGAAATATAGTCTTAAGATGTGCTATATTTATGGGATAAAGTGCTCAATATCAGAGAGATAGCGTGTGTAAATATAAAGTGGACATAGAAGTCAACACTTAGAGGTGACAGTCTGTTTCATACTAGATACAACTGACTATTGCATCTAGCATGAAACAGACTGTCGCTCTAAGTGTTGACTTCTATATTCACTTTTCTATTTATATATATATATATATATGTGTGTGTGTGTGTGTGTGTGTGTGTGTGTGTGTGTGTGTGTATGTTTGTGTGTATACAGATAGATAGAGAGAGAGAGGGAGAGAGAGAGAGAGAGAAACGAAGTATATTTTAATATTTTTTCTGAAAGGATTTTTTTTTTATTTCTAACTATAAAAAAATAAGAAGTGAAGTAAAATTATGAAGCCAAGAATGGACGACATGATTTCCGATAGGGCCAAATGCAATGCGTGAGATAATGGCATGTGTATTTTCCCTGAAGTGTTATTTTATTTGTAGCGAACTCACGTACGACCCTTTTAGAAAAGCTCAACACCGAATGGAAAAAAGATATATACTTACCTGGGGCGTCCAATGTTGGTTGATTCAATGGGATCATCGTTTTTCCCATCACTTCCAACGACTCATATGAGAGTAAAACTAAACAATGAAAAAGCCTTTAGACATGTTTTTTTCTTCTTGTCATTTTATTCTTGGATATGCCTATTCACGATTTAGATGTTTAACTTTGTAATTATTCCGTCAACACAGTGGGATTTGTATCACATTCATCTGAAGATCTATTTCCTTGGAACGTGCTGACAAACATAGAAGGCAAGAAGACTGAATTATATTTGAAGCAGATAAGATATTTAGACCCCATTCAAATATGGGGGTCCTGCTTTTTCTTTTAAAATCTAAAACACAATTTACAACCGTTATATTACGAATAATTCTAAGGTTAAACTATTATACGTTTTTTCAATTCAGACGGGTTTTCTCGTCTCAGACGATATACTCACTAGATTTCGGCCTCCTTTGAAGAGCACCTAAACGGCAGAAAATACTACACAAAAATGGAAGACAAGCGGATATACATATTTTAGCTTTCATTATATACAAAAATATAAAATTATCTCTTAATTTTTAAATTATAGAAATAGACAAAGAGGAAATAAAACGTATTTTTAATAGTTTGTTAAAAAATTGGGTATCTAATTTCGACAGAGTTATGAATTATTGATATTTTGAAAAACGTTCTGTAATCCGGACACTTAAAGCAAAAAACACAAAATGTTTAACGACGATGTATAAAAAGTAACTCATTTTCTTTCTATTTCTTTGTCACGTGCAACGCCATCTTGGGAAAATATATCATTATTTGAAACACACACAAATACATATACAAGCAACATATTTTTTCGCCTTAGAACTGATGAAGCTTAATCGGCGAAATGCGTCGTCGGGTGTTTTCTTCGAAACACTTCCATGAACGTTTTACCAAATGTCAATAATTTATAACTTTGTCGGGATTAAATAGTCAAATTTGACATTTTTAATAGTATATTTTATAGACTTTTGGTCTGAATTTCTGCGATGAGGAAATATCATTACTTACGCTACTTATATTCGAACTATTGTCTTCATCTTTGTTGTTTTTATTAAAACGTTTCGACCGTTGTGTTCTGCAGTCTTCCTCGTGTATATATCGATCAGCATAACCTACTGGGTATTCCGAATTAAACTCTTTATTTAATTTACTGGGGTAGAATTTCACTGCTCATGTCTACTATATAAAAAAAAAAGAACTAGACAATATCTCTGGATATGGACAGTGAATCAAGAATAGTTTTTCAGCACACATGATCAAACATATCCTTTTATTGCTTGCCACAACTTCAGGGAATGTTGTAGGCTCAATTCTTTGTAATGCTTTTTTTCTCGTGTAATTCTTTTTTTAATTGTAAAATATTGACTATTGACTTTTTTTACAGACAGCATATTCATTTGATTCTGTCCACCATGCTTTCGATATGTGGTAGAGTGTCTACGGCTTGGTTTTTATTGTTTTTTAAGCACGTTTTAGGGATACATAATTATAAGGGGGCTTAGGAGACACCTGTCTACCTTGCTTGGGGTACTGGGATTAGAAGGTATAGTAAGAAGACAAACAATACTTAGAGCTTCAAAGAATATGTAGAGACATGATTGCTCACATCCAGAATAGACAAAGCATAGGAAATCCGTGTGTATCTCTATATATAATCTCAGGATAGTTGATTCTTTGGAGAGATTTCTTTGTGAAGATGCCTTTAAAATTTAATATACTGTGAATATTCTAAAATTTGAATTAAATTTGTATGCCTTTTAGAGTTGTTATTATTGTTTTATTTTATTGCCTTATTGCATTAACATGATTATAATGACTAGATTGGCAGTTAGGTCTCATCATTTTATAGAAATTTCCAAATGTAAAACGTCTGTAATTTATAGTAAATGCCTCTCTACTCTCGCATTTCTTAACAACTATAATCTTCAAAAATTTAAATTTAACGTCAATCGTAAAATTCTGTCTCCTTAAATTGAATTCTTTTTATTGATCTTTCTAATGTTTTCTCCATTTTCTTCACTATCTATAACTCTTTGAATACTAATGGTTTTATCAATTTAATTTGGCTTAAATTATCAATATATATATATATATATATATATATATATATATATATATATATATATGGGTCTTTGAAGGAAATATAATAAAGGGTGATGAACACAATGAAACATAGAAGATAGGTTTCGCCGTACGTGACGTGTGTTGAGTCCTGCTTCTATAAGTTTGAATGAAAGACAAAACCGCGTGTAAGGAAAAGGCTTTGGATTCTTGAGGATAAGAGGGCAAAAAAATTAAATTACCCTATCATATATATATATATATATATATATATATATATATATATATATATATATATGGGAAGAGAGTGTTCACAAAATAAAAAACTGTCAATTCACTGGATATATATTCTTCTGATTCACAGCCGTGATCTTTCCCCAAATCGCAAATTGGAAAATCGCTATACATACATGCATACATATATCTATTAAGCCACATTCTATATATTTGTATGTTTCGATCAGTTTTATGTAAGTATGTGTGTGCGGTCCTCAGAAAGCTTTGCTGGGAAAAACATTCTTAAGCTAACACCGAAAATTTTTTAAACATCCAATACTTTCCTGAAATGTACTTCAAATAGATTGGAAATACTTGAAAATTCCGTTATCAAAAGAACAGCGGGGTTGGGGGTCTGGATGAATATAGAAACTCTAGTAAGGAGTCCACACTAAAGTTTGCACATGAACACGTGCCAGAATCACGTAAATTCTGAAAGAGATTTTTTTTTTTACTTAGACGATTGTCCAATCGGAATTCTTATTCAAAATCCCGTCTGTAACATTGGGAGCAGAATTAGCTACACTTCATTCTTTTGAATTCCGTAACCCATCAGGGTCGAAGATGCCACAGATATACTGTAGCCGTAGTAGAAAATGTGTGGTCAGTTTAAGACAGGCTAACATAGTTTATTCCTATTCGGGCTGACTTCAGATTTTACCTTCGCCACAGATTCCCCATCCACTGCTAAAGGGTATAGATTCCCTATTATTTACGAGGATTGGAATTAAGAATTTTCCTTCTCTTAGACTGTATACTACCCAATCTACCTTTCTATTTTAACCCCTAGCTGATGGAGGAGGGATTGTTGACTTTTCCAATAGACTGCTACTCCCATTTCGAATTTCCAGGCTATTCGTACGATCCACCCGAGCTGCAGTAACGCACTGAAGTAGAATTGTGTGAGGTTCAAATGATACTGGAGTCACTCATAGGAGAAAAGGAATGAAGATGATAGTAGTGTATCAATATATATTGAAGGATTACTGAAATAATGTATGGCAGATGGTATAAGGAAATGCTCAAAATGATAACGCCGAAGTAACTAAGAACTGTATGCAAGAAACAATTGTCTGTTTAATACATTAATTTAAATACTCTCGGAAATAAAGTGCGAGTTTCTTGCTCACAAAAGCTTCCGTAAATATTGTGGAGCCGAACGATATTTACAAAGATTACTCATCTAATATATGTTCTATTAGAATGTTGCGAAAATTGTTTAGATTTTGTAAAAAAAAAAAAAAAAGTTGTCTCCAAGAAGTAATTGCAATGGCAGATAATGTATTTGCGATCCAGTTCTGCTGTGCCAAATGTAACCAAAAATCTTTGTGTATTGTTATTTGTTGTTCTACACACACACACACACACACACACATATATATATATATATATATACAACTAATCCAATGTGTCTTCCTATTTTTATTTCTTCTGATTTCAAGTCTTAATAAATTCTTTTTTTAACAATAGATTAAATAATCAATATTTTCAGGTACAAAGACAGCACATACATGTGACGAAAGAGAAAAATTCAGGTATATATATATATATATATATATATATATATATATACAGAGAGAGAGAGAGAGAGAGAGAGAGAGAGAGAGTAAGGTAATGGAGGGTTTGGTAATCCATGTGGATAATTCCAAAGATGATGTAATCCAGAGAGTTCAGTGTAACACCTAGCAAATATTAATTAAATAATTAAGAAAAAGGTTCCATGACTATAAATTATTTCCCCAGAAAATACTGGTCTCATCTCTAGTAACAAAGTGTTCTAGAAGTATTAAGACTGGTGATATAAAAATAAAACTACAACACATAACAATTTAACATTAATCTCCTTCAAAATAGTCCCCTTACAAAGTCAGACACATTATCCATCATTGTTTTCAATCATGGAAGCATTCCTGAAACTCCTTTTCTTGGGATAGCTGATTCGTCACAGTCTCCTGCATTTCCTTGACGTCTTGAAATATTGTCCCTTTCAAGTGCCAACATCTGGAGAACGTGGTGTTTGTTGGTGCTGGAGTATATTGCTACAACGACTATGTCACTGATGGAAACACTGTGTTGTGCTGAGATGACCACACTCTACACACTTTCCCTCTAAGCACTGCTATTAACAATGTAAGTCAGCGAGTATGTTATACCGTAGTCTGTACGTGTGACAGATTTGAAGGTCAATCTGCGCCAAGCAGCTTCACTGCGTACTTTAGCTCCGTTACTATAGCAGCAGTCACGATACATTTTTTATCAGACTTAGTATATATATATATATATATATATATATATATATATATATATATATATACCGAGCGTAGCAGCACAATTTACAAATCGTGTAACAGCAAAATTATCAATTGTTAGATTAAGCTTTGAACCGAAATGATTAAAGATATTTTACTGGAATTCTCCGAGGCTCTTTATAACGCTATTGATCAATAAACTGTATAAATACTCTCCAATCTTAACAGAAGAATTGTGATGAAATCGTTCATTAATCATAGCTAGGGATCAGAAGCTCAATAAAAGTTTGAAATAAAGTTTTTTATATATATATATATATATATATATATATATATTTCCAGGGTCATTTTCCAACTTATTCAAGATGAAATTCGCCGTCTCTAACTTTCTAATTTTTTGTCCTGGTGTAACATGTTTCAAGT